AGGAAGGAAGGAAGGAAGGAAGGAAGGAAGGAAGGAAGGGAAAAAGGGGGGGAAGATGACGACGCCTGAGCCGGACGGAGCGGGGAATTTCTTCTCGGGACTTGCGGATTTGCCACCGCCGGGCTCCATCGTCGGGTTCCGGGAAGCGTCGCCGGCCTTCCCCGGCGCCGCTCGCTGATTTCTTTCGCTTCGCCGACTTGGGGCGTCCCCGAATGCGCCGCCGGAGGGCTGAGGAAGAAGCCGAAGAAGAAGAAGAAGAAGCCGAAGGAGGAGGAGGAGGACGGCCGCCCGGCTCCCCGTTTGGCTTCCAGCAGTTGGAGGTGCAGCGGCAACGTAAGTGCAAAGTTGCAAGCTCTGGCAACAGGGCGGGAAGGGGGTTTGGAAATGGGAGCCAGGATCGCTGGGGAGAAGGAGAGAGACAGGGAAGCGATTCCCGCCCGCCCCCCTTTCTTGGCTGGGTGGTGGGTGTGAGGAGATGAAGAGAAGGTGTCAACCTCCCCTTCCCCTGTTTATTTTATTTTATTTTATTTTTATTTCATTTTATTTTTATTTATTTTTTTGCCTGCGTCAAGGTAAGGTTAGGAGAGCTTCGGCATCGCCGCGGTGCTTTTAATGCAGATGCAGGTGCGAGCTCTGGTCAAACTCTTCCCACTCCCCCCCAGTCCGCTCCCCAATCTATAGGGGCGCCCCACTTCTCCCTGCCTCCCTCTGCTCTGGGGTCTGACCCAGCACTCTTTGAAGAGCTGCGGTATTTATGCCCGGCAGCGGCTTGCTGAGAGACCGGCGGAAGGGCATCCGAGGGGCTCTGCCAAACAAAACCCCTCCACAACGCCAAAAAGAGCCCCCCCCCTCCCTCGTTTCTGCCTCTGCCTGGGCTGCTGCCCGGCGGCTTTCCAGACCCTTCCTAGCCCGTGTTTATTTGGAAGTTGCATGGGTGTGTGTGTGTGGGGGGTAATGTCTGATGATGAAGAAAGCTCAGCCGCCTTCTTCACTCCCCCCCCCCCAAACTATTAGACGGCCACATCTGGAGAAGGTAAGGTTTGGTCTATCTGGGGGGGGGGGGTGAGGGTGAGGGAAGGCGGGAGAAGTCCTTTGGCTTCCTTCCTTTAGGTTTAAAAAAAAAAAAGGTTAGGAAGTAGCCAGCAAGCAGTGGCAGGCTGCAACGACTGCAAACCTTGATCAGTCTGGAAAGCTTCCTTCTGCAGCTGAGACCTTCGTCTTGCATCAGACTATCAAAGGCAACACAACCAGGCTAGGTAATTTAATTGGGGGTCTGGTGGGGGGGGAAGGGAAAGGTAGGGGGCCTGAAACCTGCTTCCAAGAAGCTTGAGCTCCTTTCCTTTCCTTTTTAAATTTTTTTTTTTCAACTTGCCTCCCATCGGAGGGGTGAGAGGTGAAATAGCGGAGCGAATGCTACTCAGGGCTGTGTGCTGATTAGAGCAAGTGTGCCTGCCTTTCTCTGTGCGTGCGAGTGTGTGTGTGTGTCAGTGTGAATTGCATCTGCATCTTCTCCCCTTCCCCGCCCCCACTCAATCTTGTAACTAGTTAATTTCATTCTCAGTGTGCACTCGGCGCTAGTGGCAGTATATTGGTGCATTCATGAAGCGGGAATTACTCTCATGCATGCACACATACACAAGCAAGAAAGCAAGGCATGGAAGCAGGTGGCAGTGTTTCTCTTTTTGCATGTGTGTGTGTGTGTCTCTGATACCGTTTTTTTTTAATTAACACTTCTTTACAAAATGTTGTGTTTGTGTTTGTCGGCAGGGACTGTCGGAAAACCATAGCTTGGATGTGATGCAGCCGGCCAGTTTCTTTTGGCAAAGAAGTCAGCCTTCCTTTGTGGACATCTTGGAACCCTAAAACCCTGAAGAAGGATCTATAAACAGATTATCATGGACCTGAGAGATTTTTACCTGTTGGCTGCTCTGATCGCCTGCTTGCGGCTGGATTCTGCTGTCGCTCAAGAACTTATTTACACCATCCGAGAGGAACTGCCTGAAAACGTGCCCATTGGAAACATACCAAAGGATCTGAACATTTCTCACATCAATGCTGCCACAGGAACCAGCTCTAGTCTTGTCTACAGGCTGGTCTCCAAAGCAGGAGATGCCCCTTTGGTGAAAGTCTCCAGCACCACGGGGGAAATCTTCACCACCTCCAACCGGATCGACCGGGAGAGGCTCTGTGCTGGGGCTGCTTACGCAGAAGAGAATGAGTGCTTCTTCGAACTGGAGGTGGTGATCCTTCCCAATGACTTTTTCAGGCTGATCAAGATCAAAATCATCGTGAAGGACACCAACGACAATGCTCCCATGTTCCCGTCCCCTGTCATCAACATCTCCATCCCTGAAAACACGCTGATCAACAGCCGCTTCCCCATCCCTTCCGCCACAGATCCCGACACTGGTTTCAACGGAGTCCAGCACTACGAACTTTTGAATGGGCAAAGTGTCTTTGGGTTGGATATCGTGGAAACTCCGGAAGGGGAGAAGTGGCCTCAGTTGATTGTGCAGCAAAATCTGGACCGGGAGCAGAAAGACACCTATGTGATGAAAATCAAGGTGGAGGATGGAGGAACGCCCCAGAAATCCAGCACAGCCATCCTTCAGGTCACAGTAAGTGATGTCAATGACAACAGGCCAGTGTTTAAAGAGAGCCAGGTGGAAGTCCATATCCCTGAGAATGCCCCGGTAGGGACCTCTGTCCTCCAGCTTCATGCCACAGATGCAGATGTGGGAAGCAATGCAGAAATCAGATATATTTTTGGGGCCCAGGTTGCTCCGGCAACGAAACGACTCTTTGCTTTAAACAACACCACTGGGCTAATCACGGTTCAGAGGGCCTTAGATCGAGAAGAGACTGCCATCCACAAAGTGACAGTCCTGGCCAGTGATGGTAGCTCAACTCCTGCCCGGGCCACTGTTACCATCAATGTGACTGATGTTAATGATAACCCTCCTAATATAGACCTCAGGTACATCATAAGCCCCATCAATGGCACAGTGTACTTATCTGAGAAAGATCCTGTCAATACCAAGATTGCGCTAATTACCGTCTCAGATAAGGACACAGATGTGAATGGCAAAGTCATTTGTTTCATCGAAAGAGAAGTGCCATTTCACTTGAAGGCCGTTTATGACAACCAGTACCTGTTAGAGACCTCTTCCTTGCTGGACTATGAGGGCACCAAAGAATTCAGCTTTAAAATAGTGGCCTCTGACTCGGGCAAACCCAGTTTGAACCAGACCGCCCTAGTCAGAGTCAAACTGGAGGATGAAAACGACAACCCTCCCATCTTTAGCCAGCCTGTGATTGAGCTGTCTGTTTCTGAAAACAACCGGCGGGGTCTCTATTTAACCACGATCAGTGCCACCGATGAGGACAGTGGTAAGAATGCAGACATTGTATATCAGCTTGGCCCCAACGCCTCCTTTTTCGATCTGGATCGTAAGACGGGCATTTTGACAGCTTCTCGGGTGTTTGACCGAGAAGAACAGGAGAGGTTCATTTTTACAGTCACGGCCAGAGACAATGGGACTCCTCCCTTGCAGAGCCAAGCGGCTGTGATTGTTACGGTGCTAGATGAGAACGACAACAGTCCCAAATTCACGCATAACCATTTTCAGTTTTTCGTGTCGGAGAACTTACCAAAGTATAGTACTGTAGGAGTGATCACAGTGACGGACGCAGATGCAGGTGAGAACAAAGCTGTGACTCTCTCTATCTTGAATGACAATGAGAACTTTGTTCTGGATCCTTACTCTGGAGTTATAACGTCAAACGTGTCTTTCGATCGCGAGCAACAAAGTTCCTACACCTTTGATGTCAAGGCTATCGATGGAGGACAGCCACCCTGCTCTTCAACTGCTAAGGTCACCATCAATGTAATGGATGTGAATGACAATAGCCCTGTGGTCATCTATCCCCCTTCCAACACGTCTTTTAAGCTGGTACCTCTCTCAGCTATCCCGGGATCGGTGGTAGCAGAAGTGTTTGCTGTTGACATTGACACGGGAATGAACGCTGAACTGAAATACACAATAGTCAGCGGAAACAACAAAGGCTTGTTCCGTATTGATCCTGTGACGGGTAACATCACCCTGGAAGAGAAACCGATTCCAACTGATGTAGGCTTGCATCGGTTGGTGGTCAACATCAGCGATCTGGGCTACCCTAAATCCTTGCACACCCTTGTCCTTGTGTTTCTGTATGTCAATGACACTGCAGGAAATGCCTCGTATATTTATGACCTGATCCGGAGGACTATGGAGACCCCTTTGGATAGGAATATTGGGGACAACAGCCAGCCCTACCAAAACGAGGACTACCTTACCATCATGATCGCCATCGTGGCAGGGGCCATGGTGGTCATTGTGGTCATCTTTGTCACCGTGCTGGTCCGTTGTCGTCACGCTTCCAGGTTCAAAGCTGCCCAGAGGAGCAAGCAAGGGGCCGAGTGGATGTCTCCCAACCAGGAGAACAAGCAGAACAAGAAGAAGAAGCGGAAGAAAAGGAAATCCCCTAAGAGTTCCCTGTTGAATTTTGTGACCATTGAGGAGTCCAAACCCGAGGATGCTGTTCACGAACCTATCAACGGGACCATTAGCCTTCCAGCTGAGCTGGAGGAGCAGAGTATAGGAAGATTTGACTGGGGTACTGCACCACCCACCACCTTTAAGCCCAACAGCCCTGATCTCGCCAAGCATTACAAGTCTGCCTCTCCCCAGTCTGCTTTCCACCTTAAGCCGGACACTCCCATCTCGGTGAAAAAGCATCACGTGATTCAGGAGCTGCCCTTGGACAACACCTTTGTTGGAGGGTGTGACACCCTTTCCAAACGCTCTTCCACTAGTTCAGACCACTTCAGTGCCTCAGAGTGCAGTTCGCAAGGAGGCTTCAAGACAAAAGGCCCCTTACACACCAGACAGGTAAATGAGCACTTTTACTGGTCTATAAGTACTGCATACAAGTGCCCACTCAACCAGTATTAAAGTGCCAGGAGGAATTCTTGGCCTTCGGGATAACTTTTAGATTAGTTTTTACTTAAGGAGAGAGAGAGAGGAAAGAAAAGGGGTGACAAGGTTTTTCACCTCCCAGGACTATGCATTTGTATTAAAAGAAAAAAAAAAAAGTGATCCCAAAGTGATACATCAACAACTTTTTTTGGCTTTGCTTTTAGGACAAATGGCACATGCACACACCCTCATTCACACCCATTCACCAACAGAGATGCACGCATGCACACAGGTACAAGGACTCGTGCTTAAAAGCAATGGTATTGTGTTTTTTGTCAAAAACGTATCAGGGTAGGGCATTATTGAAGATTAAGAATGGGGCTTACTCTGCCAGATTCAGACCAAGGGGAGGAAATATTAGATGATCCAAAATGTTTCAGGATTAAATATATTAATTTCCAATGGAAGAGCAGTTGTATTTTCACAGGAGGCGGGTTTGACCGTTCTCCTCCCACCCCCGTTTATTTCCTGCTGATCTGGAACCATTTGTTACGTTACCGTTTTTCAGGAGCTGATTTTTGTCTTCACCAAGGCTCAAAGGTTGTGTTGCACTGTGTTGGTTGGGTAGGAGACAACTAAGCTGTGAGGCCGTGTTCCTCTGTTCCGAATTACAATGGTTTCAGTTGTGTAGTAGTAAAACTATGTGTCTGTTAAGGAAGAAAAAAAAAGTTGCATTTTATTGGTGTGTGCTTTTGTTCATCTTCCTGTTTGAAACGGCCAAAGTACACCTTCAAGAGGAAGGCATTTGTTTATAACGGAGGAAAAAAAGGGGGGGGGAAACTCACCATGAATTATGCAGGAAAAAAAAATTCACTCCATTGCAAATACATTCTCTTATTAGCCCATAAGGGAATTTTCATGACTCATTTTAAAGCTAAGAAGTCTGCCATAAAAAAAATAAAAAAAATAGGTCAAGGAACTTCATATTTCATCCAAAATCCAGTATTAGGGGTTGGGAGATTCTTATTCTTACAGTGATGATCTAGGTCAAATCATTCCTGGCTAATAAAGATTTAAATGCAGTGCTGTCTTAATTCATTTCATTGGTGCTTGTCTTTCGTCACGAAATTAGAATGCAAAAATGCGCCTCTAGATGGCGCTACGGGACTGTGTTGGCCAAGCTGGCTGGCTGCCAATCTTGCAGTAGTTCAGAATTTTGGGAGGGTGGGGGGAGGGGGAGGGATGGTTCAGGCTGGTACAGAAACCCAAAGAAATCCTTTATTTAATAACAGTCACGCTGAAAGGACCAGGAGATGAGCTAGCATGCTCTCTGGAGGCCCTGAGTGCTTAGGTTTCATTGCATCACTTGTTCAAAGGTTTAGCTGCCCAACTCATCTCATGGCTGATTTTTTTTTCTTTCTGTTTTCTCAAGTGATGGTGCAGATTTGCTGTGGCTGATGGGTCCATGGCGTAAGGCAAGGTCCATTAGAAGAGGCTTTGGCGCCCCCTGGGATGGAAAATCGCCATTTTCTAGCTTGAGTTGCATGCTAGCATATTCAAAAATAAAATAAAATAAAAAACCACTTCTGGGATTTTGGACCAGTCTCTGAAACAAGGGGCTATATTTTTAGCCCCTTGCAGAGATTGCGTTGTTGAAGCAACTACTCAGAGTCTACTCGGCGGCCTTATTAAAAGGGATTTGGGATGAAATTCCACACTCTCCTTCTCCTACAATGGACTTGATAACAGTGTTATCAAAGTAACAGCATATATTAGGTAATTCTGTCTAGGAAACTTTAATACAGGGCTGAGATGGAAAGGAAGAGCATCTGGCAATATCTGCGTAACTAGCCACCCTGAGAATGGAGCATCAATGCTTCCTCACTTTGATTCCTTCTATGTTGTTTATCAAATTGTTCAGGGCCCCAGTTTGTTGTCTGGTCCTGTTACAAGGCTGGGTTTTAATATTTTTTTCCCCCAGAAGTCCATAGGGGATTAAAATCACAAGTCCATAGCAACTTCCCTGGAAGAACATGTACGTATCAGTGGGCTTGGTACCTCAAGATGATCAGATCTTGAGAAACAAGATTTTCATGGATGACTTCTGAACTCCTGCTTTTCAAGAGGGAGGTCTAGAATTCAAATAGCATAGATGGGGTATTTATAAGAAGTATTTTGATATGTTGGAGTTCAACAGTGAAGTGGATGGGATCAAAATGATTCGGTTGTCCCTCCTTCCATTTCTCAACTGGATAGCAAGCTTTGGAATCAACGGTACAGAATTGTTGCATGTTACTGTTTCCAAATAAAGTTGGATGCAAAAGAAATCCTGTATATTTTTCTCCAGTTGCAGCAAGACCAATCATTCTTGTACTAAGCAATGGGGAAAAAACATCTCCAGTTAGGGTTAGGTGAATTTGCAAAATTCAGAAAGCCGAATCTATTCAGTTGCTCACGAGCTGCCAGTAATGGATTTTGCTTCCTGTTTCAAGGCTCGGTTTGAAAGAGAGACATCTGAAGTTTTCGGGTTTGCAAGGATGATATGTCTTGCTGACACCACTGATGTCAGACTGTGTGGGAGAAACTGAGTCATTGTTATACTTTTTAGTCCGGCACATGTTAAAGACGTATGCAATTAAATAAACACTCATTCCTGGAACTATATTCTGTTGACATCAACTTATTTGCAATTAAATGTGTTTAGCACAAAAATAGTGACTTTAAAAAAAAATCTGGTGAGAAAACTGACTTGAGGATAGAGTCAGAAAATAGAGTAATAGCACATTCTATTTTCCTTTCCTAAGGAAGTAATTTGGCATTGTACTTATTTAGAGCAATGAGGCTTCTGCAGGAGAGTACCCAATGGAATACTCCCAGCCCAATAAATAAAAAATAGATAAGGGGTACTGATAATTTGGAGGATGGTGATAGATACATGGGAATTATTGTGGAAAATTATTCTATTTTGGTCATTCCTTTGCTAAATCGGGCACCTGAATGAGTAGTAACTAAGGAGAAGGCAACACAATCTATGCTCTGTATGTTAATATCACACAAAAACTTTAGGTTGCTTGTTTCTTTTAATAATTAAGCTAGCACAGAATCAATAGGTTAAATTTCATAACTGTCTTTAAAAAAAAAATCACCTCTGTATAGTTTATCAGACAATGTTATTTGGCTCCTTTAAGCCTTTTCATATGCTGTGGGATGTATAGTACTATTGAAAACTCTTTTTTAAAAAAACTCACACACCTTTTAAGGGAAAAAAAAAGACACAGATTCTTCTTCTTTTCTCTTGTGTCTTTGTTGGTCATTCACCAGATTGGTTTTGATGTTAAAAGACACTTAAAGTTCAAGAAACGAAGACAACATGGACTGAAGGAATTGGAGGCAATTGGCTTATCCTAATATTTGCTAGTGCTGAAAATAAATTATGTAATATTGCACTAAAGATGTTCTTTATGAATATCTAATAGTCACTGGAATAATATCTTAGATTCTGCTGCAGATAGGGCTAGCAAAGGAATAACATACAAAAGAATGTCACACAGACATTAATAACAATACAGTTGTATTTGAGTGGCTGAAATAGGATAGCCTAAACACTAATCCTGAAAACATCTCTAAATGTTGCAGATTGGATAGCTGTGTCAATTCCATAGCAGATGCCAAAATGGAAATTGCAAATGATTCCTTTGGCAGGCATGAGAAGGCAGATGCTTTGAGTAAAATCGGAAGTGAAGGACAGCGTGATTTTCTTAGATAGCACAATTCTATTAGATTCCTTATTTTTTTTTAAAAAAAAAAGAACGGCCTGGTTCAGACAAAATGTGGAAACCTAGCTTAATATTCTGGACAGTTTTCAATTCCTCTTTGTTTTCAAATGGAATCATTTGCAGGTTTTTGTCTGAATTAGGAAACGTGGGTAGTTTTTTAGTCAGCATACATAAGCAAGTCTGGATTGCCAGTCGCATTATGAAGCTGGCTCGTTGGAGCCAACCACATTCAAATTGTACTTTTTCCCCCCCTCTCAGTCAAAAATTGTGATTCATTTGAAGCTGTGAAATGGTAGTTGCCTTGTGTCTCCACCAGAAAAGAGACTAGGAGGAACGTTGAAGTTTGAGACTCAGTCTTCTAGAAAAAGAATTTGGTTTTGTTACAGGTTCAGACATGGCCATTGGGTACCAGATGCTGCATTATTCTGATGGAGAATGGACTATTGCCAGAAAGAAGTACCCTATATTGAATCTGGTTGCACATTAAGCTATTTCTACTTGCCAGCATGTAGGACAGCATCTTTCCCTTGAGAGAGAGTCTGTAAGGAAAACATTAAAGCGGAGTGGAAGCATCATTGCTCTGCTTCTCTGAACAGCAAGAAATACCTTTTATGGTTTGATCACTGTTGCCAAGAAAGAAAGAAAGGAGGGGTGGGGGGAATACTAGGCTGGGATTAGATCTGACTCACCGAAAAAGAAAAGAAAAAAAAACAGCTTTCTAAAATCTTGCACGATAGCAAATAAAGATGAGCCATTTTTAGAACTAGGGCCTGCTCTGTTTAGTGTTTGTGCAAGAGCTAACCCTGATCAGATCCCACAAAAATACAAAAAAAAATATGGTTGCGTTTTCAGTTTTTCTAGCCGATGTGGTCAATCCTCTAGAATAATGAGTAATATCAGCACAGCCTTCTCTCATCTTGAAGGATTTCCATTTACTTGAAATTTAACCTCATCGGCTGAAACTTCTGGTGATGCAGTAAGACTTCCTTCAGTTTTGAGTCCGTGTTTTCCAGCAAAGAGCTGTAATTCTTATGAAGTGTATTAATTCATTTCTGATTACTTTTATGGACCAACAGAATTATCCAGTACAGTTCATCTGCCATAAAATCCAGTTGGGGAAGACTTTTAAATACTAATAACACAGAGATCTCTAATATATATATCGTGTATATATATATACACGATCAGTTTCCTTGAGTGTTTCATAAAATTGCAGCAGGAAAGCAGGGTTGTGCTTAACTGCACTAAGAAGGAGCAACCTCTCCCTCAAGTGGCTTGTTGTCCTTGATTTATTTATTTGCATTTATGATAACAGCTGATAAAAAGGACACTACCAAAGCTGTTAAACCTCCCATAAAAGTAAGGTTTTCTTGGCTGCAGGAACATTTATGGGAAGCTGTGGCATATGAAGCTGAACAGGAAGGGTGCAATTTGCTCGTTCAAATCTTTTGATTTGGATTTTTGCCTGTGGGGGAAGTTCAAGGTGCAGCATGGACCATTCCCACAGAACATAAAATGATAGATTCTGATAGACGCACAAGCAATAAGGCATGTGGAAAGACAGTGCAAATACAGGGCATCTTTGGCTACCTTATATATATATATATATATAATATATATATTGGGGAGCTTTTGTTCAACTGTCTAAAGATATTCATCTTGGAAAGGAGGCCGAGCGTGGAAAACTTCAGCTGAAAAGATGTTTTGGTATATTTGGAAGTGAAAAATCCTGGGAAAATAGGGGTCTCTAATAGAAATCAGAATATAACCTTAAGCAATAATACAATTCTCAAGAAACACTTAGCTAAAAATAAGGCTTTCTCTCTCCCTTTTATGTATGCAGAATCCCCAGTCAGTTAAAGCTCCTGAGATGCTTTTCTCTTCCTCATCTCTTTCATAAATTAGACCTGGTGGTGTGTGTTTTTGAGTTTGTGTGCATACATGCAAATATGGGTGTATGACATGAATACATGACTCACAAAGCTGTGTTTTCCTTGGAGATGCACAAAAGTTTCTTAAACTCTATCACACATGGACACAGGGAAAATAAAATACCCT